CAGAGCATCCATTGCAAGAGCGGCTTCTGCCACCGGAAAAACGGCCTGAGCCTGGCCCGGTGCGCCATGAAGGCGGCTGAGACCCAGGAGTGCTCCCCAAAGGTACGTGTTCCCCTGCTCCGGGGGGAGGGGACAGGGACACGTCCCCCACGCTGCACCGTGCCTGGGTTCCCCACAGAGCCTCTACGGGGTCTACTACAAAAGAGCATCGTGGGCTCCATCACCAACAGCAACTTCGGCATCTGCAAGGACCCCCGCAGCTCCAAAGGGCCGCAGTGAAGGTGGAGACCCCAACCCCAGGCTGCCCCTGTGCCCTGCTTTTCCCCCTCCCCAGGGGTGCCTGGACCTGCCCGTGCTGCCCTGGCTGTGAGGGGGGTTCAAGTAAAGAGCATCTGATGCCAAGCTGCAAGTCGCCGTTGTCACTTGATGTCACTGTTGTCAATTCCCTCCAGCCCAGGATGGGGACACCAGGGCCAGAAGGTCCCACAAAAAGCTGCAGGGACATGTTGACTTTGTGTGGATAACAATCTAGGCTGGGCCAGCAGCATGCTCGGGGGGAGCATTAGAAAAAGGGGTGCAGGGGAAGAGGAGATGCAGCAGCCCCAGGAGCTGCTCAGGTCGTGTTGGGCTTGGTTGGTTTGCCACTGTGGTTGCTCTGGTTGGAAACACCCCTAGAAAAGGTTGGTCGGCAGAGAGGAGGGGCTTGAGGGTGGTGTTGAAGCTGTGGGTGCTTGGGGTTGTGCCACACCGTGGGCTCTGGGTGACCCTGAATGCTGGGAGCTGCCTCTCCTCCTCAGGGTGGGCAGACGTGGCCAGGAGGTGGTCGGGCAGGTGGGAGTCCTCCCCCCAAAAAGGACCTCACACCCCAAAAAAGGACCTTGTACCCCAAAAAGGTGTACACCAATTGGAGCCAGCCAATTGGGGAGGGGTCAGGGGCTGCTCCAGGGACCTGCTGGCTCCTGCAAGCCTGGCGAGAGAGGGAAGTGCTGACCTGGAGGGGTGGTGAAAGCCTTGAGGGTCCTGGGCTTGCCGTGGTGGTCCTGGCAGGAGGCCACCAGGGGGGCATGGGGAGGGGGCACAGACATGCTGCAGGGGGTGAGGAAGAAGAGGCACTTGCCTGGCAGAGCTGGGGGGGGCAGCAGGAGCCAAAGGGGTCATTGGAAGGGGGGTTCTTGG